TGATCCTCACCAAATTTTCAGGGATCACATGAGGACACTGAGGTGTAAGAATATCAGGGGCTTATTTTTTTATGTTTCTATTTTGGCCACAGGTATTATAGAAGTATAGCTAAATACATAAATGCATGGTGTTAGAAGTCAATCCTGGGACCAAATCATGGCTCTGCTACTCTATTTGTTTGCTTGGGCTGCCATAACAAAATGGCCACCGACTAGGCAGCTTAAACAAGAGAAATGTATTTTTTCAGTTCTAGAGGCTAGAAGTCCAAGATCAAGGCATTGGCAGGGTTGGTTTGTGGTGAGAGCCCTCTTCTCAGGTTGCAGATGGCCACTTTTGTGTTGTGATCTCACATGGCCTTTCCTATGCACACATGCATGTCTACAACCTTAACCTCCTCTTTGTATAAGGACAACAGTCATATTGGTCCACCTATGTGACCTAAATTATGTCTTTAAAGATCTTGTCTCCAAATATAGTCACATTCTGAAGCACTGAAGATTAGGACTTTCAACAATATAAACTGGGGAGTGGAGGGTGGGGGGAGACCAAAGTCTGCCTATGACAGAGACTTTATAACAGGGCAATCGTAACTCTGTGAATAGGTTTCCTCCTACTTTCTACTGAATTTGTGTCTTTTCTTGTTGATTCCTTTCTATAACCTGGATCTTAATCCTTGCTCTCTCTATATTTTCCTTACATCATTATGATGATTCTTTTTACCCTACAGGTTTTAATTTTAATATACTCAGCTTAATCAATATTTTTATATAACTTTTGTGTTTAAGAAAGAATTTCCTTTTTCAAGTACATAAACATATTCTCATAGTTTCTTCTAATATGATTGGATTTTTATTTTTGTATTCACATCTTTAATTCATTTGTCTGATATTTGGCAAATGATTTAAAGTAGAGCAATAACATTCTTTTTCCCCCCAAATGAACAACAGTCCTCAAAACACTTGTTGAACTGAATCATTTTCCCTGTAATGTTGTCATCTATACACACATCCTTACCTTCTCACCTGCAATCTTTCTTCATTATCCTCAGTGTTCCATCCTCACCAAAGCACTGAGACCACTCAAGCCAAGGACACAAATGACTTCCATGTGCCAAAGGCAGTGGTTACTTGCCTATCCTCATCCTACTGGACATTTTGGTATGTGTCACACAGTTCACTATTCTCTTTTGAAGCACTTTCCTTCCTTGGCTTCCATGACACTGCACTCTCTTGGTTTTTATTCCATGTCACTGACCACTCCTTTTTAGTTACCATTAGTGGCTCTAATTCTTTACCTTCATTTCAAACTCTAGACTGCTCCAGGACTCACTGCAGAGCCCCTTCTACTTCTCTATTCACACCACCTCCTTAGATAATCTCATCTAATTCCGTGTCTTTTGCATAATATTGATATGCTGTAGATTTCCTAACCTACATGAGAATCCCTGACCTCTTTCCAGAGGTCTAGACTCCATTCATTCTCTTCCCACTGGACATTTCCACACTGATGTCTAATAACGATCTGAAACTCAACATATCTAAATCAAAACTGTTGACTCCCCCTCTCCCGAAGCCTGTTTTGCCACCAGGCTCTCTCATCAACCGCATTTATCAAACCAAAGGTGTAAGATGTACTCTTTTAAATTTCTAAATTCTACTTACCACCCAGTCCTTTTAACTCTGCTTCAAAGACAGATGTTTTTGTGTCTGTATCCCAGGATTGTCCTTCTGTGTTCCAGGATTGTCCTTCTGTGTTCAAACTACCCTTATCTCTCTGGTAGACTTCTACAGTACCTCTTCCACCAGGCTGCCTCAAAATCTATCCTCCACAGTAACACTTTTCTAATCTTTATCAGAGCACATCACTCCCCAGTCTGAAATCCTTTAGAGGCCTCACTCTGCACCTAGAAACTATACTTAAACTCGTTACCCAGGCCTATAAAGCCAAACTTGGTTTGATTCCTACCTTCTCCAAACTTGTCTTGTACCACTGTTCCCCACATGTACTTTTATATTCTGCTCCTTGAATGCTGCAAAGCTGTTCTCTCGTGACGGGATATGTGCTAGTTCCACCTTAACTCTACCGGCATACTCTTCTTCAGTCCTTGGCATGGCTCAAGCTAAAACTCATGACCATCTCAGATTAAATATTACCTCCAGAGAGAGGCTTTCCTAACTGTCTAATGAAATTCCCAGTTTTGTCTTCGTGGGTGCCCTATTTTAATTCTTTACAGAACACTATGATATATTCTTTGTTTATTTTTTCATTGGTCTTCTATTTATAACCTCCCACTAGAACATAAGTTCTGTAAGAGCAGCAATGTATCCTCATCTTGTAAATATGTACCTAGTACATAATAAGTGCTCAATAAATAAGTTTGGGTTTTGTTTTTGAAACTTTACTCAATTTCATTTATCTATTTGTCATTTTTACACAAATACCATCCTGTCTTAATTTTATTTTATTTTATTTTATTTTATTTTATTTTATTTTATTTCACTTTACTTTACTTTATTTTATTTATTTTTGAGAGAGAGAGAGGAGGAGAGGGGCAGAGAGAGAGAGAGAGAGACAGAGAGAGAGAGAATCTCAAACAGGCTCTATGCTGTCAGCATGGAGCTCCATCTCACAAACAGTGAGATCATGACCTGAGCCAAAATCAAGAGTTGGACACTTAACTCAGTCACCCAGGTGCCATGACCACCCTGTCTTTATTACTATAGTTTCAGCATCTATTTTAATACCTAGTAGAATAAGGACTACCGCATCACATACATTTTTTTCAAAACTGTTTTTTCCACAGTTGTGAAATATCTATTTTACATATATTTCATACTCAGTTTATCATGTTTCATTACTTTTCATTGGTATTGCTTTGAATTTATAGATTAGTTTGAGGAAAACTGACATCTATATAACACTGAAGATTTACATTAAAAAATATAATGTATTTCTTTTTTTATTTAAACGTTGTTTCTCTGCCCTTTAGTTTTACAGTTTCCTTTTTATCACTTTTAAAGTTATTCATTAGCAATTTATTGATTTTTTTAAAAAAATTCTCAGGAATGTGTGTTTTTCTATTACACTTGTTAATTTCCAGTCAAGAGGATAGCTACTTTATCTAGATCTTATTGAGGACTTTTATTTGATGTAATAATTTTTGGTTGATTTTCTTGATTTTTTAAATGAGATGGAAAAATTATTTTCACATGATACTTCTTCAACTTTTTTAGATATGATACTGCATTGGCTGAGACCTCCAGAAAAATGCTCAATAGCAACATTAATGCGGGCATCCCTGTTTTGTTCCATGCCTTCATGGAACCACCATTAACTAAGCCTGATCTATGTTTCTGGCAAAGATCTTTTATCACATTAAACAGGTCCCCCTTATGTATGGGTGGCTCAGTCAGTTAAGTATCCAGCTTCAGCTCAGGTCATGATCTCGCAGTCAGGTCCATGGGTTCGAGCCCCACATTGGGCTCTGTGCTGACAGCTCAGAGCCTGCTTCGGACTCTGTGTCTCCCTCTCTCTCTGCTCCTCCCCAACTCATGCTCTGTCTCTCTCAAAAAATAAATAAACGTGGGGCAACTGGGTGGCTCAGTTGGTTGAGCGTCCGACTATGGCACAGGTCATGGTCTCATAGTTTGTGGGTTTGAGCCCTGCATCAGGCTCTGTACTGATGGCTCAGAGCCTGGAGCCTGCTTCGGATTCTATGTCTCACTCTCTCTCTGCCCCTCTCCCATTCATGCTCTGTGTCTCAAAAATAAATAAACATTTTTTTATCTCAATAAATAAATAAATAAATAAATAAATAAATAAATATTAAAGTTTTTTAAAAAATCAGTTTTACAACAAAAAAGAACTGAACATTGATACGAGGTTTTTGCGGGCAGTCCAGCAAAGTTTTACTAACAATTCCTAACTGTTGAGCTTCCTTTATGATGCAGATAGAGCACTTCATCTTTTTCATAGTTTACTCCTAACCATCACAGTATTTCTACAAGATGGAATATTTTTTCACCATTTTAAGAATGAGGAAATCTTGACTCAGAGATTTATGCAATTTATCATAGGTCACAAAAATCTAATAAGTAATTACTCAAGGATTTATGTCCCACTATATCTTGCTTCAAAGCCCACACTCTTCCCACTGTGTTCCATTTTTAATTCAGTGAGACATTAGACCAAGTCTTTCAACATGCCCTAGAGGAAAAAATAACAAATGTGTTGAGTTTATGGGCTAATTAATAACCATAGCTGAAGAATGTCTACCTTGATGTCAACTCTGAAGAAGATTTCAAAGGAAAAAGTCACAAGAGAACCAACATAGAGAACTAGCTGTTTGTCACTAATAGCTATATCTTGTCAAATTAATGGCTCCCATCAAAGCAAAATGGGAAAAGGCATAGATAAGCAAGTTAAACAGGTCAGTTCATACAATGGATTATAGAACAGAGATTCAAAAACATCTAAAGAGTTGAAATGTTGGGCCAAAACGAGCAAGAAAAGTTTCACATGGTTAGAAGTAACATTGACCCTTAGGTCAAACAAATCAAACACACATAAATAGGATGAGAATAACCATAGTCCTTGTGAAAAAGGTCTAGTGTTTTAAACCAAAAGCTAACCGTGTGTTATGTGGGTGCCAGGCACATTGGTACAATTCCAGTATACATGGATAGCACTGTCATTGGCCATAGCAAGAGGTTAATAGTACTACTCTCCATATCTGGAAATACAGATTTCATTCTAGAAATTATATTTAATTTGGCCATAGCCTAATAAAGATGCAAGTCACTATCTCATATTCATTTCATCAAGTCCAGGATGGAGAAAATGTCAGAGGCAATGAAGAACCCCAAGACCTTCAGTGACTGGTTAGGCAATTTTGGGGGAGCAGGAAGTCCACGCACCAGTGCATTTCTTGTGCCTCCAATAAAAAAAAATCATCATCACATTTTTTTCGTGTCATCTAAGAATTCCTGTCCGTACTTACCGCTACTCCTGTCTTATAAAGGAGGTAATGCACAGTCTGTGTAACGTCAGCAGCATGCATTAAATTGTGGTAAGGATTTTTATGCTTGCTGTATCCTACTTCCAGGGCCTCCACAAATGAGACAAGAGCAGAAATGGGGATCTGAAAGAGAGCAGGAAGGTGGATTAGCTAGTGATTTGGTAGCCTGAAGTGAGGCAGCAGAAATCTAAGGCACTCTAGCTGCCTCTTTCTGGAGGCATAACATACCACGTGAAGAAATGTGAACTTTCAAAATTAGTAAAAATCACTGAACAAATTATCAGCTGATTTGAAAAATCTCCCAGGAAGTCCCTGGTTTAAGAACAGTCTGCCCTGCAAATTGCTTTTTGTGCTCAGTTTCGAGCTCCAGGGAGAACGAAACAGGATCATCTCAAAGACATTTAGGGCAGAAAGGTAGGTGTTCATTTATATCTCAAGCAAAGGGTCAAGTCTTTTATTTCTTGAGAAATAAATGAATACAAGCTGTGTAGCATATATCATTTATTTGGGGGGGAAACACAAAGTACATAGAGATCTCAAGTTGTAAAATCATTGCAAAATAAACTTAGGCTGCCACCTCCTGAAAACTGTGCCCTTTAGAAGGAGTGATTGTATGCCCTGGACACATGGAAAAAACACAACAAAATATGTTCTATTACTTGGCAATTTATTATTGTTGCATTGCAATTTGGATTAATATTTCCAATTAGCCTAATTCTTTTTCTGTCTCAAATATGTATAATATACATACCTGCTTTTTTTGTGTGTGGCAGAAAATAAAGACTAGTGCAAAATACTTCTACAAAAAAAAAGGGGCCCCTGAAAACATTCACTGTATTTCTGTTCTGGATAAATTCCTTGGTTTAGAGTAAATTATCAAATATAACACTGAGGAAAAAAGAGAGAGTGTGCATTCCAGTATTCCAGGAGACTAACCATCACGTTAGAAAGGAAAAAAAAAAAAAAAAGGAAAATGTTTTACTATTACGCTTTGTGAGCATCCATTACATGTTCTTCCTTGGGCACATCCTTCAATATTTACCATTTGTGGGTTTTTAAAAATGTAAATGTTGCCTCTCATATGTCAGAGACTAAGTCATTATCATTTTTAAGATGAAGATTCAATACACCTAGGTTCTTTGGACTGTTCATGAGAGATCCATGAGTCACTGAAGTGTTAGGTTACAAGATGTGCATATGTGCACAAGAACTGAGTATCCACCAGGTTTTCAAGCAGATTTTTGATACAAAAGTAATTGAGGACCACTGCATTTATGGCTATGTAAGAAATACACCTCCACCTGTGTTAGGAAAGTGATAAAGAACTGTGCTGTCTAGAGAAATCAAGGTATTATATTAAAAAAACAAAAAACAAAAACCCTGCGATTTCCAGAGGTTCATCCATATGATGAGAGAAGTGCAAGGAACATGGTACGATAAAGGTCACTGGACAAATGCACAGATTCCCTGAGGAACCTGGCCCCACCTCTAGAGTCCATGGTATTAGAAAGCAGAGGGGATTGAACACTGAAAACAATTCATGCTCTTTACTTAAAGTTGAAGAATTAATTTGAAGCATGAATGGCTGGGAAATACCGATGATCTGTCACAGATGATAAGTGAGAGCATTTGTCTGAATCTGAGCCAAGTGGTGGGGAAAGAAGTTTGCAGAGACAGCAGATGCACACTCTGTCTCCATTACTGTCTCCATGCCAGGAGTGTTTGACAATACATGAAATCAGGCTGAAATGAGATCCGCAGGCCGAGTTGTAGGGGAGTTCTGCTAGTCCACACTTCCGGTTGTACTTCTAGGAAGACTGGGATCAAACTGTGTGGCTCCGGCCTCTTGCCTGCCATGAGCCCCACTGGACAAGGGCTTAAGGAAAAGTTCCCACTGCAGAATTCAGGGAAGCGGCTGTCTGGATGATGCTTCCCAAGTCACCCACAGCAGTTTTCAGTCCATATTAAAAGGATTCTCTTGGTCTTAGCCCAAAAGTCATGCAAGGGTGGACAAAGCATGCATATTTTAAAAGTAGGCAGTGGGGCTCCTGAGTGGCCCCTCAGTTGGTTGGGCATCCGACTTCGGCTCAGGTAACGATCTCACAGCCTGTGAGTTCGAGCCCCACGCTGGGCTCTGTGCTGACACCTCAGAGCCTGGAGCCTGCTTCAGAGTCTGTGTTTCCCTCTCTCTCTGCCCTTCCCCTGCTCAAGCTCTGTCTCTCTCTCTCTCAAGAATAAATAAACATTAAAAAAATTTAAAATAAATTAAATAAATAAATAAAAGTAGGCACTGACCTTGAAACGGCTGATCAGATCATAGCGTGTGAGTAATTCATAGAAAATGAATTTCAGTGCATGATCACCGCTGGCCTCATTGAGGGAAAAGACATCAAAGGACCACTTGTCCACATCCTGTATGGCAGGGCAGGGAGAAAGAATGCCTTAGTTCATAGCCACTTGCACAGCTACGAGTCTCCCCACTTGGGAGTTACCCCATAACCCTCACCCAGGATTTTCACAGCCCAAAACTCTAACACCCTTTCCGCCCTCAAACTTTTTCCAATTTGGCACACATAAGTAGCATGCACTGATAAAATAATTTTAAGTAGTCTTACTATTTGTAACAACAGCTCTAATTTCTGGAGTGCCTACCACATGCTAGGCATTGTGATGTGTGATAAACACATGATTTGTCCTGAAAACAACCCTAAGTGGTAGGCAGTATTGGTCACATCTTACAGATGAGAAAACTGAGAAGTGCATTTCCCTCAGACGCACCACAAATGAAGTGTTATAGACACAAGTGGGGGCGAGGACACAAACACAGTCAACAGATGCCTCAGCTCAGGCTCTTTCCATTAAGCCTGTCCACTACACCGCTGAACTTCCCATCTTTATTCACTTCACAACAACCTAGGGTGCTTCCCTCCTCCAAACTTCTCCCCAGTCCCTTACTATTACCTATGGACTTCGTCTTAGTCCACAGTTGAAAACATTAACCCACTTAAAATCTTCAGAAAAATGCCTGATACAGAACAAGTAATATATCACTTCAGTTCAAACCGCTGAGCTAAAACTGTGGAGAAAGATTTCATTTCACAAAACAGAAAAATGTTACCGCTTTTGGAGTCACTGATCTGAGAACCTAGCCCTCAAATCTGTAAGTCGCTTTACTAAAAAAAGTAAAACTAAGACCTAAGCTGAAGGCGCTCCTCACACACCATTCTTGAAGTTCAAAGGCTTATATGTCTATAAAGATATAGACTCCAAGATATATGTAAACTTGTCTGATGTGTCTTTGACTTATAGTCAGCCACTTGTGGATGTAGTAAACAAAAGTGCGTTTAAGCAATAGTTAAAGCAACAGTTATTTGGTTTCTTGTGTCAAGAGTTTCACTTTCAAGGGTGCCTGGGTGGCTCAGTTAGTTAAAGCTTCCAACCTTGGCTCAGGTCATGATCTCGTGGTTTGTGAGTTTGAACTCCACATCAGGCTCGGCACTGGTGGTACAAAGCCTGCTTGGGATTCTCTCTCTTTCCCTTTTTGTCTCTGCCCCTTCCCCACTTGTGCATTCTCTCTCTCTCTCTCTCTCTCATAAATAAATAAATAAACTTAAAAAGGGGGAGGTTAACTTTCAGTAAAGACCGTGTCCTGCCATAAGCATGACAATAAGGACCCATGTGAGACCATGTTGAGTCAAGGTAAAGTGTCAGATGCTTCCCTGGGAGAGACTCTGGTGGTCTGGAACTGTTAACCTAAGTGGCTCTCACCTCAGCCCTCAGTGCATTCCAACATCAGCCAGCTATTCCAATCCTGTCCCGTCTCAAACATCCCAACCACCAAAGATCATCCTAAGGCCACTAGAGTCTCTCTCTTGGATGCCAGGGTACAGGAAAACTGAATCATATATAGGGAAAACAAAACTTTTCCAAAAGGGTTTCAGTGGATTGTTTCAACTGACACTTACTGGTAACCTCACCTCAGCCTTCTATAATTTCTCCTCCATTATAACAACTAAAGAAATAGCTCTAAGTACTGAGCATATTTTCTGTGCCAGGCTCAGTGAGAGAAGTGTTAATGTACATTTGCTAGCCCTCACAACTCTAGAAATAGGTGTTACTTTCCCCACTTTTACAGATGGCAACCTCTGAAAGACGAGAGGAATTGGCTAATGCCATTTGGTAGCAGATCCAGGTAACAGTCCCACTGATATCACTGCCAACAGATGGCATTGTAAACTCAGTGAATATATGCTGTGACTGAGGTCTCATGCCCTAAATGCCCAACAGGGCCCAGGCCATAGACAGTGGGGCCATTTAAGATAACCCAAGACCTAAAGCTTCACCTTAGCTACCATAATTGTCATTGTCATGCCATCCATCGTCTGACCATTAGTCCTAAGGAAAAGTCCACAGACAACTCAGTAGGTGGGAAAACATTTTGTGATTTTTTAATCCTATTCTCTCAAATGAATAGAAAAGAGAAAGGCTGTCACTGAAAATTGAGAAATCATCACAGTAAGAAGTCATTATTTATTCTGAATATTAGGAGTTAGGGAAACAGGAGGAAGAGTGTGAATAGTGAGATGGATGTTCTCTCCTGCCACTCATTTTTATTTTTTTAAATAAAGAATATGTTTATTATTTTTTTAATATGAAATTTATTGTCAAATTGGTTTCCATACAACACCCAGTGTGCCTCCCAACAGGTGACCTCCTCAATGCCCATCACCCACTTTCCCCTCCCTCACACTCCTCATCAACACTCAGTTTATTCTCAGTTTTTAAGAGTCTCTTATGGTTTGCCTCCCTCCCTCTCCTTTTTTTCCCCCTTCCCCTCCCCCATGGTCTTCTGTTAAGTTTCTCAGGATCCACATAAGAGTGAAAACATATGGTATTTGTCTTTCTCTGTATGACTTATTTCACTTAGCATAACACTCTCCAGTTCCATCCACATTGCTACAAAAGGCCATATTTCATTCTTTCTCATTGCCAAGTAGTATTCCATTGTATATATAAACCACAACTTCTTTATCCATTTGTCAGTTGATGGACATAATGGATATCTTTCCATAATTTGGCTATTGTTGAAAGTACTGCTATAAACATTGGGGTACAAGTGCCCCTATGCATCAGCACTCCTGTATCCCTTGGGTAAATTCCTAGCAGTGCTATTGCTGGGTCATAGGGTAGATCTATTTTTAATTTTTTGAGGAACCTCCACACTGTTTTCCAGAGTCTGCCACTCATTTTTAAAAGGGCCGTAGTTGTGATTCTCCAATTTTAATGTTCTTCAGAACCACCCAAGGTGCTCAGGAAAAAATGCTGATTCTTGGTTGGGTGAGGGACTTGCAGAATCCTGCTGCAGGATGTGGAGTCTCCATTTTTAACAAGCACCTACTTTAACTGTCTTAAGCCATTCTTCCTGTCTTACCAAACTTGGCCCAAGGCCCATTCCCGAAGAAAAATTTCATGAACTTCCTATCAGTCTAACATAGCCTGAAACTCCTCATTTCCTCCCACTTTAAACCTGGAGTCTGCCCAGGGTGTCTCTTTCTAAGTTACACAACAGCTGCCTTCTAAACAATAACAACACTTCTATAATTTCAATAACCCCACCTCAAAAGATTAGAGAGAAAACTCCCCAAATAAGAAGCTAGCATATATTGGATAGAAAAAATTAAAAGAACAAAAATTTCACATTTAGAGATTGGTGGTGGTTAATTATTCTCTTATTTAAGTGTGATTTTATGCCATGTTCTTACATTAATCACAAAGGTTAACATGACACTGGCATGATGGTTATTTTACTGAATTGTATTTTCTTTCAGGAAATTTTCTATAATAGAAGGAAACAATAGTGGTTCCATATAAACTGCTGGCAATGAAGTAGAAATAACCTTTCCTAACAAGCACCACCTAAAACAAAAACAAAAGAAAAAAAAAAAAGGAAAGAAAAAAAAAAAAAAAGAATATCTGTGTGATCTTGCCAACTCACCTTCAATCCACTGCAGATAAAACCAAAGTCTTGTGGGGTGGGGGGGTGGGGTAGAAATATTACATTGTAAAAAGATCTTGAACTTCCCCAGTAAACAGGGACAGGATCAAGACAAAGGGAAGCTTTAGCCTTATGCACATTATCAGCAATACTTGTGGAGAAGGGTAGTAATTTGGAGAGTTAGTACTTATTCTTGGGCTGTATCATCTAGGTTCCTTTCCCCTCAGAAAGACAACATGTGTTCATCTGAGAATTACTTTTCCCTAAGCTAAAAAATAACAATTCATGGATATCCCAGGTTGCTCCACATTTTCTTCAGTTATTTTGCATAGAAAAGACGCTCCAATTTAGAAGAAATATTTTCATAAATTTCTTAGCACAGGTATAACTACCTGTATTGATGTTCACAATAAAAGAAGAAATTATAAGGGGCGCCTGGGTGGCGCAGTCGGTTAAGCATCCGACTTCGGCCAGGTCACGATCTCGCGGTCCGTGAGTTCGAGCCCCGCGTCGGGCTCTGGGCTGATGGCTCGGAGCCTGGAGCCTGTTTCCGATTCTGTGTCTCTCTCTCTCTCTGCCCCTCCCCCGTTCATGCTCTGTCTCTTTCTGTCCCAAAAATAAATAAAAAACGTTGAAAAAAAATTTTTTTTTAAAAAAAAGAAGAAATTATAAGATAAAGCCTTCTTTTAATGTCCCTAAGCTTTCATTGAATGTTTCAGGTTCAGTTAAGAAAATCAATGCAGCTTCATAATGGGTGTTATGAAACATCAGATCTCGTGAAGCGATTTCACTGATTAAATGAGAAAGTCGCTACGAATTTCACCAATGTATTGGGCACTGGTGGGGGGATTGAAAAGGAGTGACAGGAAACGTGTCTTCTTGCTGTAACCTTCTTGAGTATCTTTCCTGTTCTTAGGATGAGCTAAGAGACAGAAAATGGAGAACTGAGAATCTGAATACAGGGTCTCACAAATTCAATTAGTGAATGTTCTTGTAGCAAGAGAAAGAGACTATAAAATATATAATCAAAATGGCCCCCAAAGGCTCACTCTTGACATTGAATTAAGCACTCCCATCCCTGATTCCATAACTAGGTAATTTAAGTTATCTTCCAAAAATATCATCAGGTAATACATGTTTCAGGTTTCAGAGAAAGACAACAATACATTTAACAATAGTAATGATGCTAGGATGTCCCTGACAAATGGATGATTCCATATACAGACATCATGCAATGTCAAGGAGCCAAGTGATCTGGCCCTTAGCACAACCCCACCCTCAAATCCAGAAGCCAGATCCACTTTAGTACAGCCAGGATAACCTCAAACCAGTGGACCTGAACGGATGCATATCTAGAGGAATACATCCACTTTGAGGCTTTTATTTTTTTTTTTTTATTATTTTTTTTTTTTAATTTTTTTTAACATTTATTTATTTTTGAGACAGAGAGAGACAGAGCATGAACGGGGGAGGGTCAGAGAGAGGGAGACACAGAATCTGAAACAGGCTCCAGGCTCTGAGCTGTCAGCACAGAGCCCGACGCGGGGCTCGAACTCACGGACGGCGAGATCATGACCTGAGCCAAAGTCGGCCGCTTAACCGACTGAGCCACCCAGGCGCCCCAGACTTTGAGGCTTTTAGAGATATTCTATACAATTCCAAGAGCTTGCCTGACAAAATAATTCTCCAGGACTTAGTACACTTAGACTCAAATGTCTATGTAACTTCTCATGGAACTTTTGGGCTCAGTGGGAGTCTTGGGTAAACAGTAGGATACATGGGTTCTGGGGACACACATTCATGCAGTAAAACGTTACTGAGAGCTTACAATGTGATTGGAACTCTGGTATCAAACTTTAGCTCTGGCTCTAATTAACTGTATCTTTTTAAAAATCTCACTAAGTCTCAGTTTCTTCATCTACAAAATGGGAGTAGAATAGATAATCAGATAATGATACCACTTTGATCAGCAAAGATCCTTCTGATGGTGATGTTGAAAAATATGAAACCCACACTGTGTGATTTATTTTTTTTTTAATTTTTTTTCAACGTTTTTTATTTATTTTTGGGACAGAGAGAGACAGAGCATGAACGGGGGAGGGGCAGAGAGAGAGGGAGACACAGAATCGGAAACAGGCTCCAGGCTCTGAGCCATCAGCCCAGAGCCTGACGCGGGGCTCGAACTCACGGACCGCGAGATCGTGACCTGGCTGAAATCGGATGCTCAACCGACTGCGCCACCCAGGCGCCCCTGCACTGTGTGATTTAAAAAATTATCAGGGCGCCTGGGTGGCTCAGTTGGTTAAATATCTGACTCTTGATTTCAGTTCAGGTCATGATTTCACGGTCATGATCTCGCCACCATGAGATTGAGCCCCGTGTCAGGCTCTTGCTGAGCATGGAGCCTACTTGGGATTCTCTCTCTCTTCTCTCCCCTTCTCTCTCTGGCCCTTCCCTACTCATTCTCTCTCTCCCCCTGTCTCTCTCTCTCTCTCTCTCTCAAAATAAATAAATAAGCATTTATAAATAAATAAACAAACAACAGAAAGAAAGAAAAAAATTAGCAAGACAAAGGCAAAAAGACTGTGATACTGTAAGAACAGATAAGTGAAAAATAAGAAGTCAAGAATGACTGGGAAACCTGTACATGAAAGCCTCTCATTTTCTAACAACAAATCTAACTATACTTTTTATAGGATACTGTGTACACTGTAAGATCTTTTCATTGGTATTACCTTTAATGCTTCAATAACAGCTGGTGGGTAGCTCAGTCCAACCATGTTTGATGTCCGTCTATACATTCTGGCAAAGTCAGAGGGGAAAAATGCAATGTCATATCTTACAAACAGGAATTAGCAGGACACACACTTATACTAAGTGCTGACAAATAATGAGAAGTCATGTCGTTGGGTGAACCAAGAAACGTAATTGTGTTTTACAACCTTTTTCATAGACATTCAAGTCGCCTAAGAAAGAGTTAAATTCAAGAGAAATTAAAGCAATCCCAAATATGTGAACCATTGAAAAGAAACAAAAAAAATTAATCTCTGTGCCCCAAATTGGAAAGTCAATTATTAAAATGGGTCACTTCTTCTGCCAGAAGTGAATTATAGTACAGCATAGACAGTATGCAAAGTAGCACTTTAACCTGAATGAGGAACTCCTATGGGCAACCCATTTGGAAGAGCTTGTTCTTTAGAACTGTCAGAAACAAAAAGAAAAATGTCCCAGGTGAACTCTGAACTGAATGTGGCATTTTTAAAACCTGTAACTGTGTAATGAGGGTCATAGGAAGAATAAATTGATTTGTGCAGTAAGGATTATAGCAAGAAGAAATCAATTACTGCAATCTATTTCTGGGGAAGGGGGCAATTTAACTTAAAGAGCAAAATGGCCAACAAAATTGGAAAGTGTCATGGGGAACTCAAAGCCTTTCAACAAACTGGTCCCTCTGGGTCAACAACCTCAAGGCATCTTTGCCCTGTTCCAAATGCAGGCACTAACCACATATGTCAAAGGATGATGGATTAGATGATGGCCTTTTTTAAAACTCAAACCAGATCTTTTCTAGTTAACAGAAAGCATTCTGAGCAAAGGCAAACGCTTGTCCTAATGATGCTACAGAGATTAAATAGATATGTTTTGGCAATCTCTCATTCAAGACTATCTGTTTCCACCAGAATTTTCTGGTTTATAAAGACACCAAAATTAAATCAAAGAAAAGCTTTCAGTTGTTGGAAACTGGTGTTCCTTTTGCTGCTTTGGTCATTGAATGACAGCTATCTTTACCTCTCCACAAATATCCCGGCCTGCACTGCATGGACAATGCTCTTGAACCGTGGCTTCTCCTCGCTCCTTCTGAGCATCATCCCCATCTGCCTCGTGAAGGTGGAGGCCAGCCAGTCTCGGACCTCAGAAGGCACTGCATCTGACTGAATGTCACTGAGTTCATCCTCTGTATCCAGGAGTCGCCTGAGCGGAGGAAATACAACCAGGACACTGAGATTAAATCTGAAGTTAGAGCTCTCTGTTCAAAACAGCTTCTCCTTCTTTCTACCCCACCTGCATACATAGGTACAACGAAACCAGATAAAAATGGCCACAAAAAATACAGCATGTTTTTAGTAAGGCTTGTAAAACCTCACCATTTATGTTTCAGGATGGTTCTGTCTACCAGACTGGACAAAGAAACACAGAACTCAGAGGAAGTCAAATATACTCCATTTCAGGCTGTAGGTCTCAGACCCACTGCACTAAGGAGCACCCAGTATCTGTATTCCTAGGTTTGTGGAATTTGAATGGGATATAAATCCTCCACTTAAACATGCATTCACAGGGAGGTTTATTTTAGAGATGGACCATGTGGCATTATTTTGGGTTTAAAAAAAGAATATTTAAAGACTTTGCTATAGACAATAATACTGTATCACAAACTCCAAAGTTGCTAAGAGACTATATCTTAATTGTTCCCACCACAAAAAAATAATGATGATTATGTGACCTGATAGAGGTATTAGCTAACGCTATGGTGGTAACATTATAATATATAACATATAATAAATCAACCCACTGTACAACTGAAAGTTACCCAATGTTATACATCAATTATAAATAAATTTTTAATAAAAATAAGTTTAAAATAAAATAAAATAAATATTTTTTTAAAAAATTTAATTTAAAAGAGAAAAAGAACTACTTTGTAAAATATTATCCAAATCACATCAACCCAGTCCTCTGAAATAATAAACATCTGAAATGATGTCAACTGATATTCTTTCTAGTTTGATAGCACATTATAGAAATTTAAATTCTAAATTCAAGAAAAATTTCCAAAATAATTCAGTTCTTTATTTGAGCTCAGTTACGTAAGTCAGATGTGCTTACCTGACTTTTCAAACTTGTTCATAGGTCAGACCACCAGAAGAGAACATAAATAGTAATGAATTATAATAAAATTATATTTTATATTTATATTAAGCCCTGGTAAAAATAAGCAGTATAAACAGGTGTTCATAAAAAGGGTTTTTTAAAAAAGGTTCTTTTTTTCCCCCCTTTAGACACATCAATTGGGGGGCAGGGGAGAAAATGAAACATTTGGGAAAAAACTAAGATATCAAATTTCCTTAAATTAGGAACCAAGCATGTCACCAAACACTAAGCCACATACATAATTCTTAGATCAGGGGGAAATCCTTTCAGATTGGAATCTGGTACAGGAAAGTAAGACTGACAGAGGAGCCTGTCTGAATTAGGAAAAAGAAGATAAGATTTTCATATTTACCATGTCAACATTTTTCAAAAGAAAAGCCGTTTTCCTATTTTCAAATGCATTTGGTGACTGGAAGTGCTTTCATACTTTTGGGTAATTCAAGTGGGATGAGTCTATTAAGAAAATCAGTAACATGTAAGATTGAAGGAGGAATTCTCGGTGCTTAAGGGGATAAATGCTTCACTACCACTTCAGGAGTTTCCGCTTAGAGACAGATGTGAATTAAAACACGAACATAATTTTTAGGCTGAGGCTGACAATGTGCAATAATTACAGTGGAACTCTACACTTGATAAGAAATCTTACCATATTTTAAAAAATCATTTCTTCTCCTCTTACATTATCTCACTTCATTGTCATAAAGGCCATGTGAGAGAAGTTCAAGTAGCTTCTTTTCTAGATGAGGAGGTACAGAGGATGTGTGAGGGTGAAAATCTACCTGATTCCTTTGTGGAAACTAAAGTGCCATGACCAGTCATTTGACTGCTACCCCATACAGGCCATGGGGGACATTTCAGAAAACCAAATGACAGAAAACTTCCCATCAGTGCACTAACTTCTGTCATTTCTAGCTTACCTGGTTTCATCAATGTACACGGATTCAAGTACCGTGGCTGCATATTCCAAATTCTTCTTAAGATCTACCACTGAAGCCTCTCCTCTCTCTAATTGTTTGACCAAAGACCGTAGCCTAGGGGGAAAAAAAGACATGACTAAACTAGAATAGAGGAAACAAAGAACAATCTTACAATTATAGTGACACATTTTACAGCCATGGAATATTTTTATTTATCCCAATATACCTGAAAGGAAAACACAAATCTAGTGATGGAGTAGACCAGTATTTCTCAAAAGAGCAAGTTATAAAACAAACACATACGTTTTTGCCAATGTGAAGCAAAAACAAAAAATGTTCTCATCCACCAGGCACTGACCACCCCCGAGACTTCTAGCTATCTTTTATCTAAGAGTTCCCTAAATTACCAATGATTTTGCTGCTTCTCTGATTTCAATTTTTTTGGTTCTCATTGGACGTATTAAAGCATGAGCAGCACCAATATTCACCAAATGCCACTGGAGATTCCACTGTGTTGAAGACTATGTTATGTTTGTTCAGCAGTGACCAGCTTCATGAGCCTGCATGGGTAACCTCATGGCCAACGGGTGTTCCAGGATAGGTAAGGAGAGTCAGACCACCAAAATACCCATAGAGGGCTACATAAGGAATACATGAAGAGAAACTATTTTCCTGGACAGGAGGAATTCCTTGCAGATTAATACCCCAGCTCTAAGCGGGGGGTGGGGGGGGGTGGAGGGGTGGGGGGGGGGAAGAGGCTGGATGATAAACCAAAGTAATGAAGACAAGACCTTCCCCACTGCTGGTCAAGTATTCCAGGCAATGTAAAAGAAATGATAAAATATGCTCTCTTATTTATATCAACATTATCCCCACAGAGAAGGAGTTAGCATATATGAGAGCAATAAAATGACAGCAGAAGATCAAAGTCCAGTAACTGAGAACACTGTAAATACCAGAGATATGGAGGTTGAACAAACTCCTTGGGCTGTTTGACACTAGGTAAAGAAAAGAACAGAATCTTTGAGGACAACCTTGGGTCTGAGCCCCATATCCCAACATACTAGCTGTGCTATACCAGGCCAGTTATTTAACTTCTCTGAGTGTCAGCTAAAAAAAAAGGAAGATTCAACCACCAAATGTTCTAAGTTGATATAAAGATTAAATCAAATTGATAATAATATGTTCACATCAATCATGTGGATTTTTTCTAGCTTTAATATAATTAACACATCACATTGTATAAATTTAAGGTGTGCAACACAGTGATTTGACACATGTATATACTGCAAAAATGATTATCAGAATAGGATTAGTTAACACATTCATCATCTCAAATATTTACAACCTGTTTGTGTGTGTGTGTGTGTGTGTGTGTGTGTGTGTGTGTGCGGCAAAGACATTTAAGATTTACTCTGTTGGCAACTTTCAAGTATACAATACTTGAAACTAATACTTGCTAACTATAATCACGGTGCTATAATCACCAAAACACATTAGATCCCCAAAACTTATTCATCTTATAACTAAAAGTCTCTATTCTTTGACCAACATCCTCATTTCCTCTTTGTTTTTCTGAAGGCAATTGTTACTATTATTGTTGCTGTTATTCAGTGACCTTGATCATCAGAGGCTGCCAGACAGGAAACATTCTAGCAATATACCTAAGAGTATTATGAAGTCTCCATTTCCCAAGGCTATGCCCACGTTCCTGACTTCAAAATATCCTCAGATTTGCCATCATAAGAGATAATAGGTCACTTCTTGGCCAGGTGTAGACTACTCCCCTCCAGATCTACATGAAAATGATCACCTGTAAATACTGAGGAAAAGTTCTGGATTAACCTTAAACAGTAGGTCAGCCACACAAAAGAAATTCCCAGGAATTTCAGTGATATAAAATACAGAAGAAATTAGATTGAGGATGGTCACTACTGGACTTGTGAATCTCCAGCATGTAATGGGAAAATAGGCAAAGGAAACCAGCAGAGGCCTCTGTGGGCTTAGAGGTAAGGATCAGCCCTGTGGCTCCCATTAGCAGCACTAGGAAGTGTTCTGGATTTCAGGGGCAGCAGGACAGGGAGTTGGCATGGAAGGGCTTACCAGTCACTCACACACAGTGGACAGCCAGCCTGCCAAAGAATGGGGAGATTGTAGCTGTGAGCCCTGAGAGCTATTCCAAATAAGGAATGGAAGTTCTTTAGCAAAACACATTCCTGGCTAAGTCTGCCTCTAATTTTGACTCTCACCTCCAGGGGCCCAACTACCCCTAAGATGTCTGGAATCTCAACCAGCAAAGTCAAATGAGGGTAAATTTAAAAAAATTTTTTTTAATTTTCTCCCTTCATTTGGGGTTTAAAGATTCCACCAGGAATTGACATGAATCTCTAATAGGACCCATGTCAAATCTCAAAACCTAAGAGGAATGAACCAAAAGTAAAAAAAAAAAAAAAAAAAAAAAAAAAAAAAAAAAAAATGGCTAGGCAAAACTAATAGAAGTAAGGACCAGATGATTCTGTCTACCTGCAATAGGGCTTCCATAAGAAATAAACAAACAGAAGCAGCTTTAGTCAAATAAGTTTTCCTAGACTGAAGAAAGCCTTTTGTAAGAGGATGAAAAGGGATCAGATAAAACCAGGAAAAAATAAATAAAAACATCCAACATTTGCTGTTGTAATTTTTCATTTCAAGGAATAGAGAAAAGAACTTGAAAACGTTTGAGAAAATAAAATATATGACTTACAAAGTAAATAGAAATGTAGCTGGCCATAGAATTTGCCAAATACCAGAGAGCAATTTAAAAGTAATACCATTTTTTAAAGAATAATGTGGTATAATTCAAGAGACCTATGTCTATATCTATACAGTAGAATTGCCTACAAATATAGTCTCAGGTGTGGATAAGTTCAAAAATCCATCATTAATATGATTTTCCAAAAAAACAAAACAAAACAAAAAAACAATAATCTTGAAGGTATACTCTAGGACAGTGATCTTTCAAGGGTGGGAGTACATTCATGGTTCTCCCATTAAATGGATTGTGAATTCATGACCTAGATTTAACTAAGCCAGTCTTTACAAAATAGACAAGTAGTTTCAAAGATTTTAACAAATGGCAGATGAAACACAATCCTAATTATATAAGGCCAAGGAAATATAAAAATGACTGACAGGTCTTCTCCCAAGACAAGCTCCTGTTCCTAGTAGAAGGGCTTCCTATGTCACTTTTATGAACCAAAAAGCAATTATAATCGTCAAAAACAACTGAAATTATTAAGAACATTATATGGAATACTGCTTTGAATCCACTATTCTTAAAGATCCCTACTCCCAGGAAAGCACAATATCGGGGCAATACAAGTCTAGAAGAGTTGGGTATCATCTTGTGATCTCGCACCAGGACCACAGGCCAGAACAGGAGTGGGGCTCCCAGGGAAAGCATCACCTGGAATCCCACTCCACAGTTCAGATTAGAGTGCTGAAAATCATCTCCCCTGGAAAGTCCCAGGCTTGGTACCACAAGTAGCAGAAAATCAACAGTGTGGGGCTCCATCCTGATGTAGTCACCAGTCGTGCCAGTCAGACATTGGGCACAGCCACATTTATGTATCTGCTGTGAAGGTCTGACACGACAGAAAGTTGTGAACACAAGCAAACCCATAACTGAGTGACTTCAACAAACCCAGAGAAGAAATAATACAGAATAAAGTACCTTTAGGATGCGTAAGAAGTACTAAAAATTCTTATCTGTTCCCATTTCCCTGGCTTACAAGATGAGCAAAAGATTCTACCTACACCCTGGTGGACACAAAGGAAACCTAGGACACACTCAGTGTGTTTATGGAGAGCACCTAGTTGACAGTCACCTCTCTTTGTTCAAGAACAACTAAACAGAAATATATATATATATATATATATATATATATATATATATATATACACATTATATACTATATATTATATATCATATATATACTTATGTATATACTTATAATATATACTTATATAATATATTATTATATATATAATATATATAAAACATATCAATGAAAAGATTCAGCATTAAAGAAAGAGAATACAGCACTCAAAATGAAGAGCAAGGACTCACTTTCAAAAATAAAATTCACTAATGGCAACAGAAGTAAGTTTCAGGGAACATCTGCTTTGTGTTCAATAAAATTCAAGAAAACATGGATCTGTGAAACAAAGGTGAGAGGGGAAATCATAATGTAATAAAAAGCAAACATATTGAGACAGGAAAAGAAATTTAAAAGAAACAAAACACGACAATAGAAAGACTATATAAACTATTTTTTTAGAAAAAAAGAAGTAAATGGTGACCAACTTTTTAGACGCCCAGCTCCTATTTGGACTGGCACCCATCAAACACAAGCCATAGCTGTCCCTGTCCACATAGCTGCCAGCTTTATGCTTTATGCAGCCACCACACAAACCCTAGAAAATTCCAAATGTCCTTATTTTCAAATATTGTTGAGCTCTAAGACAGCATTCAGGTGGGTGTTTCTCCACTGGCCCCCTCTACACCCTCTCCTCCTTATCCTTCTTGGAATATGATGCCCTGTCCTTCCCTACCTACCACATGAGTCTGTAGCTTCGTGAATGGAAGAGTTTCAAATTAGCTCTTTCACCACTGCCACCAAATCCCTAGATTTGAATCCATCTTAAGAAGAGTTGTCTAAAAATAGCCAAGATCTCTCATACCCACGTTATAAAGTATTTTTGTTAACTTTGGAGAAGACTAGCTAAAGGAGGAAGGCTCGGATGCCCTCCTCTGTTTTCTTAGTGAAATTTGTCTGGGTATTTTTCCATGTGGATTCATTTCACCTAAAAGCCAAGGTCCCAAAGGACCAATCCCAGGTAAGCTCTACTCTATATAACTAGCTATTTAATACTATTCATAAGAAATTTTGGTCCAGGCACCTAAAGGAAGGGAGGGAGGGAGAAAGCTGAGGGAGGGAAAGGGGAAATATACAACAATACCAATAATAAAGTTTCTCTTCTGCGTGAATGTTCATAGTTTCCAAGCACTACATTTATTTCTGTCACCATGGCTGCCAGATAATGGTTCCAATATAGAAGTGCAACACCATTTT